CAAGGGTCAAATTCTAATTAGTCACTGTGAAAACATCATCACCTAACCATAGTTCAGAAAAACATGTAGATCTTCAAATGAAGGGCTATATATTGTTGCCAAATTTCAATGAAAACTGGAATTGGTTAACATTTCCTAAACCTTCCAAACATTAAATTGAATTAAAATCCATTCAGCTGTTCTCAAGCAAAGATTTGTATACAGATAAATAGATAGATGGATGGATGGATGGACAGACAGAGCAATTTTATTAGGCACACCAAATGGATGTGAACAAGACTAAAATTTAAAATACATGAAAGCAGTATAAAGCAGAGAACACATGCAGAACATATCTCCCTCTAACTAACGAAAAGTTTATTAGGATATGCACAGACCGTCTCTCAGGGATAAATGGTTAAATACTTAAAAATAAGTAAATTAAATCTTAACTGTACAAATCGTTTTACTTCGTAAACATGGTAGACAAGCAAAGGAATAGCCCATAAACCTAACCTTCATCTGGAGCTACTTGAGAAGCCCATGGTTTGGTGCGCACAAATTCAGGTGCAAACCTGGATGGAGATTCAGCCCGATGTCTCCTTGCTCGAGATATCTCTTTACACTGTTCTTCAAAGTCAGAATCCATCTCAGCTTTTATTAAAGTGTATGCAGTATCACGTAAAGAACAGGCACGGTGACGAATCAACTTATCAGCAGGATCTCTGTAATACAGAAGGTAAAGAAATCACTCACGGTTTTGAAACATGCTACAGGAAAATAATAACTGGTTTAATTTCAGTTGTCCCCAAACATAATTTTCACTGTAACCACAAGCATACCTGTCTGGATTATATTCCAGTGCATTGTGACATAACAAGTCAACATCATCAAGGAAGTCCTGAGCGCACACATATCGATGTAGATCTATTTTTGTCATCATTGTCTCCAAGTCCATTGGTTGCTTTATGATGGTCAAATAATCTGGCACTTCTTGGATATCAACTGGCTTTGTGAACATGAAGAACCTTTAATATACAAGAAATATATCAGTTAATAGTAAATATTATTACAACCAAGCAAACTTCATTCTACTGGATCTTAGTAATTCTGAATTATAAGATATTTAAAACTTGGCTTCACATGAAGGTTAGGCCATTCAGTTATTTTGCTCAGTAATTGACTTTATCTCTGGCAAAAAAATACAGTGACACTCATTTTCAGTATGTTTTTGACCATCCTTCTGAAATATTAAAAATTAATGGTAAAACCACGAAAACACAAAATACAGGATTTCATAATGTAAAATACTGAATATACATAATGATATATAAATAGCTTCACAAGTAAAACTGCAAGTACACTTGGTGCAAAATTCACATTACAGAAGTAGTTGCTAGTTATACACTGTTCATTAAAATGATGCTCTTGTTTTTCGAAATTTCCCAAGCAACATTAAGGAACTGACACTGCCAATAATCTTCTTGCTATAGTAAAGTTCTTGTTATATGTATTCTATAGCAGTTTCAATGTATATTTTCTGAGCATTTATTAAATACTGCAATAATGACAATTAAATCACAGACCTCACCTGTTCTTTCAATTAAAAAGTACTGATTTGATATGAAGATTCTATTTGGATTTTGTGTGGAAGTGGTGGTTAAATCAGTTTTTATAAAGATACACTATTCTCATTCCAACAACAGTGCTTAAAGTGTACTTACTAAATATACCAGTATTATGGACAAGCAAAGGAAACAAAACCCATAGCAAGCTTTGCACAACAAACATAACATCATGAAACTAGCAGTAAATTACACTTACTGACGATTGCGTGCAAGCTTTGCACATATTTCACGTAAAAATATTCGCAACTCTCTCAGAGTGGCTTCTTCCTTTTCATATAAGGCTTTTAGTTCTTCTTCAGTCAGCTTTAGAGGCTCTGGAGGAGGAGCTAAAGGGAGTTCTTCAAGATGATCGGCTATAGAATAAAAAAAACTATACCATTACTATAACCAGTTCAAGCACTAATATCATAATGAGGAAGCTAACAAACATTCACCAGTCTGCAAAACTATTACAACATATATGTAACTAAACTACCTTGTCAAAGCAGTGCCCTTCTTGAGAAGCTAATAGTAGGGTCAGCTAGTTAAGAAATTTACCATCTTTTATGGAACACAAAGATCATTACCATGTTCACAATAGTCCACCACCAATCATTATCCTGAGTAAGATGAATCTGATGCACATCTCCTAACCCAGTTCCCCCAACATCCTTTGGGATTAAAACATAATTATACAGTGCAACAGGAGAAAGAATTCAGCATTTCTAAGCAGAATAAAAGACAAAGAATGCTTCCTTCTTCGCATGGAAGTCTCCAAACTTAAGAAAGTGCTTAATCGTCACACTTTATTTCTTCACATTACATTATAATCTTGAATCAATGCAGTTTCTGTGGCGCAACAAAAAATTTTAACTTACACACTTTCCGAGGCTCCTTTGGTGGACGAACAGCTTCAGTTATGAATAATGGCTTGAAAAATGATTCCCTGTCACTTGCAGGTGGATCTTGCATAACTAACACCTCATCTCGATACTCACTAAACAGTGAGCGAACCTATATATCAAAAATGAAGGGAACACTGTAGCAATTTAACATAACAGTGCTTTGCTTTCAAGGTAATATGTAATAAGATCCAGGCTAATGTTAAAGATGATTTATGTGACAATGGATGAAGATAAATTTTATTAAAGTGTCTCAAATAAAAATTAATGAGAAGTCCTAGGAACCTTTTCAACATGTTCTTACTGCAAACAAAAGAACAAGCCATATCTTGAAATCCAAATCCAAATACACAATCAAAAATGACACACACACACACACTACAACTCACCTCATTAGGCAAAGCATTATATGGAACATCAGCTGTTGCAATAAGTAAAATTGGTGCACTTGGATCCAATTTGCAGAGATGTGACAAAAATACTGCATGAAGAGTCTCTGGAACCAAACTCCACCACTGAGCAATTGCAGGAACGTATATTACTGATGGCAGATTACGACGAGCCTCTTGAAAAATCTGTCAAAGTATATAATAAAAGTTCAATATAAAAAAATAAAATATTACAGAATACTGTCTCTTTTGCTGACTCCAGTGCACTATGTCATCAGATCTTATTTCTCTCGTAAGCAAGTCACAATAAAGAATGACACCTCACCTTGTATAAAAAACACACTCAAAAGTATGTTCACACAATAAAATACATCAACACACAATAGTGTTATTACTGGGTAATGCACAGTCTCCTAACATACATAACTTGACCAAAAGTGAGAGAATTAAGAAAACAAGAAAATACAGTGAAACCTCGATTCATCGTTTTCGGCGGGGATGGGAAATAAAAACGATGAATGCGGGAAAACGATAGATGCGGGAAAGCATTAAAAATTTAAAAAAAACAATGTTTCTCTTTCAAAGTTACTTCTTTTTACCAAAAAAGTCTTTAATGGACAACTGGTTTGTCGAAACTTTACGTTTTAGACCAAACAGAGCACTTTCCACGTTCAAAAGGTTTTCCTCGTCACGTTCACTAATATTAAGCGCATAAAAGAACAACTTCACTTTCGCCAATGCAGCGTGTGCTTCGGCAAAACTCGGCAAAGCTTCGGGCTCGCATTCGTCGTCTCCCTCTTCCTCACCACTCCAACCCCCTTTGCGGACAATAACAGGAAGAATGGAAATACTATTACTGCCGAACTCAACGAAACGTAGCTGTAGAAGACCCTGACCCGCTGGAAACGAGATGAACCAGAAGAATGAAAAGTGCCGCCAGCCTTTCCTTTGTACTTGTAATAAAAGCATTTGTGAAGAAATTCACACTGCACATGCCATCTGGCATCGCTGGAACGAAATATGAGTGCACCCTAATTAAAATCGTAAAATTTCTGACAATGGGCACCGCCATTCACTCCAACTATCACCCCTGCACCGCTGACCATCATTCCAAAAGAATGTGCTGGTTGGGCGACATAACAGGTTACCACTACTGTGTATTCCAAAAACATTGTGCGTCTTTCGGTATTAATTTATCTCAAAACCCAGCATTTTAATTTCTCAGAAACGATCATTGCGGGAACATTGTGGGCCGGGACTAAGATTTTTGATGCGATAAAACGATAGTTCGAGGAACGATAGAAGCGGGAAAATGTAACATTATTTTATATGGGATGTATTCGGGACCGAACAAAACGGACGATGCATCCGGGAAAACGATAGTTCCGGGAACGATGGATAGAGGTTTCACTGTATATTCAAGAAATTACATAATGAGAATAACAATATTGAAAAGAATGTTCCTTTAAAAGGAGAATAAAGATGAAGTTGTCTTCTGGGATGTTGCACAGCGTAGTCTGGCAAAGTTTATTGATGTTTCAGAAGCAGCACACACCTCTGTAATGTTGATAAACTTCTACCAGACTACAAAGCGTAATATCCCGAAAGACATCTTCATATTCAGTGCCATGAAAATCTGTGATCTCACTGAGAATAAAGACAATTAAAATCAAGAACTTTTCAGATTAATCTCATTTTATTGTTACTGTTAGTTATTCAATTACTTTAAAGTCCTGCGTCAACTGAGGTTATGTAGTAATGAACAAGATACACAATGAAGCTGTTACAGCGTATTTTATGGCACCTTCCAAGTATTCCTCTGAACCAATTCAGAAAAATTAAAAGTATTCAATATAGCACACCTCTCATACCTGAATACATGCTTCTTCAGGAGTTCTTCCTGACACCTCAAACAGAGATGACAGATCAAGAGTGTGAACAGCCACATGTTCCATATGGTGCAGAAGAGATGGTCCAAGATGTGACGTCTGACCTTGTCTGGGACTTGAACCAACCAACAGCAGACGTGGTCTATGAATGGTTCTAGAAGTTCCCACTATTTTTGAGTTACTGTAAAAAACAGATATAAACATATAGTTAATTCAATTTGTGTAGTGGAACAGTACTCGCTACAAGTGATATTCAGAATGTATTTTTTAAGAAGTGAAACAGTAAGTTACCTGGCAACTGAACGTGATATGCCCTGTGGAAATGATTCTTTCAATGAACGGATTGCATGATCAAGAGGTTTCTTCAGCAATGGTTCAATAAAAGCAGACAACTTTCGGCCTGCATTTGGCATAACTCGATGTGAAGCAGGCACAATGTGACACCTAGCTCGGATGAAATCAACTCTTTCAACCTAGTGAAAGCAAAGTTAACAGTAAATACAGCAACAAGTATATGTGGCACCTATTTCAACAGCACAACAAAAAATACATGAAGACAAGAAAAACCATGACAATGACACACAATCCAACCCCAAAGAACAGGAATTCACAATATAAATAAATTCTAATAAGCATTTAATCGTGTTTTCATATCCTGTTTTATTCATTTTAAACCCAAAGCTTGCATAAAGTATTATAAAGTGAACATAAGATGACCAAATTATGTTTGAAATATGTTGTTCCAATGTGACCCCAGTGTTAATTTGAAGGAGATACCAAAGATATTCACAGATGTGACAAAAGGGCCAGCTGTAATACAAATATATTAACATTTTTAAAATGTTAAATTGAAATCCTGTGAAGATGAATGTTTTCTGGGTTGTTGTGTAGTCTGGTGTAAACTTCTACCACACTACGTGGCGCAACAACCCAGAAGACGCCCATCTTCAGACTCATTGCCATGAAAACCTCAAATCCTACATGAAATCCTGTGAATTATAATTGCTGCCAGCACAGCCTTGAAGCGGCCCATTCACGTATGAGTCTGACTTGCGAGTTTGGCTCGGCGAGCTTGACTCATGAGCCGGGCTTGGATATATTTCACCACACATGCATAGCAGACTCGGCTCGTGACACCCCACTCACAAACGAGTTTGGCTCAATGGATCCTGAGCCGAACTGGACTCGCAAGCCAGACTCATACGTGGATGGGCTGCTTAAGAGTCTAATCTTCTTGTAGCACTAACAACACCTGTCAACACAATTACTATATGTTCTATGAAATTGCTCACCTTGACAGCATTGGGGTCAAGGAGCAACTTCTGAGAGGACTTATAAATCTGAGGATATCTTCTTCGGAGACCTTGAATTACAGCTTCAGAGCAAAGTGCTCTAAGGTCTGAGCCACAATACCCAACTGCTTGTTCTGCCAGGTGACTCAACAAACCAGCACTGGGAGGTTGTTCCCATTGGCTTACATGAATTCGTAAGATCTCTTGGCGCTCCTGCCAAAAAGAAAAAAAATCAATTCTATAAATCAGTAAAAGTGCAATGTTAAAAGTATAGTCTATTAAGACAGTACCACCGGTATAGAGGAAGGCTTTTATGAACAGCACTGTATCCACAAAATAGGTGATGTAAAGGGAATGAGAGATTCAAAAAGCATAAAATGTTATAAAAAATAAATTTATTATTTTTTTATTTAGTGTTCTGTCTGACGACAGGTCCACTGTTCTGCCCAAAAAGAGTTCGGCAGTTTTCCCTATTCTCAGCTTCTCGTTTTAATTCCTGAAACATCATCTTCTTTCCTTGCTTGAGATCATCAGTTATCTGTATCAGTCTTCTTCCTAGTTCTTGCTTTCCTTCAACCTGGCCTTCGATGATATCACTCAGTAATCCATTCCTTCTCATAATATGTCCCAGCCAGTTACCTTTCCTTCGTGTAATCGCCTGCAGAATGTTTCTTTGCTCGTTGACTCTCCTCAATACTTCTTCATTGTTCACTCGATCCATCCACCTGATCTTCTCTATTCTTCTCCAACACCACATTTCAAAACTCTCCAGGTATTTCTGTTCCTTCTTCCTTAGTGTCCAAGTCTCTGCTCCATACATAACACTTCACTAGTTTCTTCTTCATCTCCAAGCCAAAATTTATTATAATATAAATGTTATTAAAATCAAATCTGTAAAAGATTCATAATAGTTGAAACAATACCAGCTTTGTGAAAAGTACGCATTACAGAACATTACCTCTTACCTTTTTGGCAGGAAGAGGGAAGTATAATTCACGATCAAAACGACCAGGCCGCCGCAATGCTGGATCTATGGCATCAATACGATTGGTTGCGCCTATGACAATGATCTCTCCTCTGTTGTCAAGCCCATCCATTAGAGCAAGGAGAGTAGAGACAATACTTGCATGGATCTGGTCCTGCTTTGATGATCTTACTGGAGCCAAGCCATCAATTTCGTCAAAGAAAATTATAGATGGACGCTTCTGATAAGCCTGATAAATGCAAACAGTTGTTCTTCAAGTGTACACAAGACCTTCTAAACTTACAATGATATTATAAACTGGAAAGGATAAACCACTAGACAATAAAACACCACACATAAACACAAGATACAGTTTATCATTTTAAAAATCTGCAACAAAACAACATACAATTTCACAACTGTGACTTCATCCTTTATGTAATATTCCAAACCACTACTGTACCTGTTCAAATAACAATCTCAGCTGACGTTCAGACTCTCCAACCCATTTGCTCAGGCAATCAGCCCCTTTCCGCATGAAAAAGGACACCTTACGATCCCCTTGACTACACTCATTTGCCAGGGCTCGAGCAATAAGTGTTTTACCAGTACCTATGTCAGAAATCAATTTATTGATGTTTTAATGGCAGTGAGGATGACGATGATGATCTGGGTTTTAGCACTTTGTAGACTCAGCCCTGAAAATCGAGACAGTGTGCTTCTCCAAAACATTGGCATCAAGTCTACATGGCATCAAAACCCAGAAGAACATTAATCCGTGTAATTTGTCTGCTACTTTATGGAGATAATGAATAAGATGTGCACACCATATTTTAAGAAATATGTGAATTTATGGATGAATTCAAGGACTGTGTATGTCAAGTGTGAGAAAAAAGTGCCAATTCTTTCCTTTCATAAGTCATTAGATGAAATCAACAAACCTGGTGGTCCATGAAAGAGAACTCCTTTGGGAGGCTGGATATGAAACTTTTCAAACACTTCTCTGTACAGCATTGGAAACACAACCATCTCTTTAAGGCAGCGAATGTGGCTTTCAAGTCCACCCACATGACAAAACCTGATACTACGGTCAAGTGACATTGGGTCTACATCAGCTAACGTTGATACAATCTGTTTATGGTCTACAGGACCACGTGCATGATTGCTTGAAGCTGGAATAGCAGTTGCATTGAAGTTCAGTGGCAGACACCTGATACTGAAAATGTCAATATCTGAATTAAAGCTGCAATGAAGAACACTCTAAAGTAATTAATTCATTAAATTCTGGTTTACTTTAAAATTTACAATCTTATACCATTAACTTTTTTAAACCCAAAGTAAAAATTAAGCTTCAAATATTATATATATTTTCTATATAGTACATGTACATATTCTGTTACTTATTGCAAGTTTTAGTTTATAAACTTAGTATAATTCTCCCAACGTATTTCTTTCTTTGAGGTCTAACTGGAAAGAAACCTTAATTAAGTTATTCTACCTGCACACTTCAAACTACTTGCATGTCATCAACTTACCAACAGTCTCTAGTTCTCTCATGCTTCTATTAACCACTTAATTTAATCAGATTAATCAGCTGATCAGAAAAGATTTTGTGGACACTGAATGGGCGAATATGAAGAGTTGGGGAAAATAAGTTCCAGTTGTGCTTGACATTATCTTTCTGGACAAGCCATAATAAAAATATTTTTCTATTACACTCTTACTGTGAAGGGAGATTGTCATATTTCAGGCCAGCTTCTAGTTGGATAAATATGATGTCTTAGAAGTACAGCTATTCCCATTGTTAAAAATAATTCAGAAATAAAATCTGATACATTACAGAGGCAAAAATTATGACTACACAAATCAAACTGACTACAAATCCAACATATTATAAGCATTCACAAAAGAGTATGCACCTGTTACGAGTCTTCGTACGTCCCTTATTTTTCTTTCTATCAAACCTTTCTTCATCACTGCTGCTAGAAGAGCTGGCATCCCGCGCTGGGCCGTGGTGACGACGCCGCCTGACAGAACTACACAATACCGAACGTAGAATTCGTGATGAACGGCGTGGAGGATCTATAACATACAGACTCAATTAGGGCACTAAGTAGTTTCTATCCTGTGAACATACAATGCATAAGTCGCAGCATTACCATGCAGCGTGTTATTAGTTTTAATTCCTGGGATCTCTAAAAGTCACATAATCTTCATATAACTGCTTTATCAGAGAAGTATAGAGAAAACTTACCAACATTGGCCTGGAATCTATCAACTGTTGGTTTTGTCTTTCGCAGATGGTATTTTCCTGTGGGCCCATCAGCTCCACTTTCATCATCTGTTGAGCTGCGACTACTTTGTGTTTCAGTGGGCTCTTCCTCACTGCCATCTGTGTAAATTAAAAACAGCACATATTTTAAGGCATTAAAATGTAACTGATTAATCCTGTACCACAACGTCCTGTTATGTTATACAATATATTGTTGTTATAACAACACAATGCTGCAGTAGAGAATCGAAAATAACACTAAACAACAAATAAAGTTAAATGAGTAAATCATGAGAAATAAACTGTGTTGAACAATAGCAGTAGTTTGAAAGTAATACTTTTGTTACAATGGAGAATGTCTTACCAACATTAATGTCATGGTTCAGCAACAAAATCCATTTATAATGTCAAAGCATTCATAAGGTAGATTATGTTACTCCTTTAACAAAAGCTCGGAATGACTATTACAACTGATTCGTACCAAGTTTTGACTGAGAGAAAAATCAGGCACAGATCTAATTGGGAAAAGTAAACAGAATCTTCTGATTAAGTCCTGTGCTTTATCATGCAATCAACAACAAAATTAAAGCAGTTTTCATTATACATCTGATCCACAAATTCCTTCAATGTTTCCTTCTGAAGAACCATCCACTTACAGAAAATTCCCACTACATTTATTATTTTGCTGAGGTCCATGAATTTTAAACAACATATGCGAGACAATGCTGCATGAGAGAAACAACTCCATCATGCAGAATCTTTTTCATGGTGATAATTGTCAATTGGTCAAGACATTCCTTGCTCTTTATAAAACCCTAGTGTTCACTACCATAATAAAAAACCCACTAAACTCTATTCTGCACCAGTTCACATCCTCACATCATATTCAATATTACTCGCCTTTCTATACCTACATCTCCCAACTTCTTTTTTCTCTTCAGGTTTTCCAATCAAAATCTTGTTCACATCTCCTCTAAGCATGCCCATCATACCCAACCTCCCTTGCCTTAATCACGCTAACAACATTACATTAAGAGTACACATTATAAAGCTATCCATTAAGTAATTTTCATCTTCCTGATACTCAGAAAATATTTACAATATTTACATACATTATTACATTATACTATGTTCACAAATAAAAGGTCACCATGCAACCATAAAGCTTTGTTCTATAAAACTGAAATTCACCCATGAGCTTCGTCTGATGTGGTTTATTCTTCTGAGGAGAATACATCATGCCTTGAACAGGTCGACGAGGTCGTTTCACTCTTGAATACATGTCCTCATATCCCTATAGTAACAATACAACATATATTACAATGTTGGAGACATGAACTCAACATTTATGCTTTAAGGGCAAACATTGAAAGAATAAAAATCAATCCAATTTTTAATCTCACAGTAAACTTAAACTCATACCATGGGCAATGGTTGAGAAATTATGGATTAGAAAATTACATAAATTAGTTTAAAAAATTGCATTCATTGTTAACACAACTTTCTGCATGAGCAATGTAAGTACATCAAGCACAACAACAAAACCCAGTTCTCTCAAACATCCCTTAACAGGCTTGAATAACTGAACTATATTCAAACGCATACAATGCTCATATACTTACATCATCAATAACAGCAGGTTCCAGCTCTGACAATGTGCGTCGCTTCTTGTGAACCTCTTTTACGTCATCTTGTTCCTCACCAGGCCCCACTTGCTCCACCTCTTCTTGGCGAAGCCCCTTATCAACTCGTGTCCCAACAGGTTCCTTCACCGACAGAAACATAGGATAGCCACGCAGAGTCTGAGTGCCTAGGATCCAACTTGTATTAAAGTTGTCATAAATCAGCTTCCGCTGACGTGTGCTGCGACGTACACCTAAAACAAGAGAGTACTCTTTTCAGAAAACTGTTCAGCTTTTCAGAAAGGATACTCCTCCATGGCATTAAACTTAACTAAAACCATTTAACTCGTATATGGCAATGAATGAATTTATTCAGTGCAAATGGTCATTATATTGCATTAGTACATTCAAATGTAAATACAGCCAGAAGTAAAGAAATATCACAGCACAAATCAATCTTACCTTCTCCTTCCTGGTTGTCATGTGCATCGTGTTTCTCCGAGCTGCTATCATGTCCATTTATTCCTTGGGTGTCAATTTCCTCTTCTTCCTCCTCCTCCTCTACTTCAACTTCCAAAGCATGTGTCCTCATTGGTTTGGTTCTGGCTCCAGTATGATTCACATGGTGGCTTCTGGATGAATCAGCTGCTGAACTTGTCTTCTGTCGGAGAGACAGAGATGCCCTCAAATTTCGCCGACGAGATCTTTGTCTCCGAACTCTGATGGAACAAAACAGTTTTTCCCAAGAACTTTAACAAGATATTTAAAACAACTCTTTAGGAACAGAACTTCAGTTCAATACCACTGACACCAAAGTCAGCCAGTGAACATTATCCTTTGAATACTTCATTCCAGTTCACATATTCTGAATCAATTTCTCTAAGACACAATTTACTATATTCCTCCCACCTCCCTATCAGTTCTCTGAGCAGCATAATTCTGTATGAATTTCCTGCTGTGCCCAATCTACAACCTCTACACTATCCCAAAGTGATAAGGTGATAGGCATGAGGTACATATCAACAAGGATCTTCATTATATGATATCTACTCCTAACTTGCTTCACCATCTTAAGCTTCTCTTACAAAAACAATAGAAATAATAAAGAGCAGTACCTGGGAAAACACTAAAGAGTAAAGATTGTCCTGCTACGTGCCATACAGGCGCTTGGGGTGAGTGGAGGTATAGCTCCTCTTTTTCTTGACCTCGGCACTAGATGGGGGTGAGTGGTCAGCATCACGCCCCGGCCGGCTTTACCTCCGGGAAAGGACCCCAGTACCCACTGTAGAGGAGGCTGGGTGGGCCCCAGAGCAGGTCTGGATGCAGAGGCTACAGGAAAAATCCTCTGCCCCCGTCGGGGATCGAACCCCAGTCATCCAGCCTGTAGCTAGTCACTATACTGACTGAGCTATCCCGGCTCATGGGAAAACACTAAAATAATGCACAAACTTTATACAAGTGAAGCTGAGTCAAGGCAGAAGTTCCTTCATAAATTGAAGATGTTTGTTAAACTAATGTCGAGCTATGCACACTTTCTAGCAAATAGCTCATGGCCTCAGCAGCTCACTTCACACACCTTTTCTCTACCATACCCTTGCCTGATGTGTGTTCTTTCCTTATGTGATGCATCACATGACCCATGGCAACCATTCATTGTTTCCTTCTGCCCTCTTTAAGTTGATCTGGTGTAGACCTCAGGTTGCTCTCTTTTGCTGCTGACACCGAAGAACACAGACACAAAATTCCAGTCTCAGTAATGCTTTGAACAAAACGTTGCATATTTTCCAAAATTAAGTTTCAGCTGGTGACTTTAGTGATGCCAGGACAAGCATGTGTGCAGTAGTTTTTTCAGGCATGTTCCGGCTTTCAATTACAAACAAGTGACTAGTGATTTTAATCTTTGCATTAAAATTTAAAGTTCTCCTCAGTGTCTTACTGAGCCTCAGGCTTAAGCAACACTGCCACAATTTTCGTCATAAATTCCCCTGAAGGGATATGCGAGCAAGGATGGATATAACATCATTGGAGAACCATAAATTTGTGTGGAATGAATGGCCTGAATTGTAGGAAAATCTTTTTATGTGGAAAAGTTGTTCCTGTCATCTTATCTGAAAAGTTTGCCTACATAGTTTATATGAAGGAATTCTTTGCTTTGCAGATAAGCCACATTTATTACTGGCAACTTTTATTTGCCTATTCAACTTGTATACAAAGAAATTGAAAAATTCTCCATTAAATTTATATACATTTCAACTTTTAAATCCCTATTCAACTTATTCCCTAATACATTTAAATATTTCTAAACATTTACATGGCAGAATTCAAGATCTGAATGTGAACACAGAGAAACTCATGTGGTCTTATTAAACACCTTCACATGGGGGAATATATATATATATATATATATATATAAAGCTTTACGTGACAAAATGGGTTTCAACTACAAAGTACAGAAGTTTCAAACTCTTTTGCACAATTTGGGATCTACAAATGGCCTTTTGCCCAACAGTATAAAAAACATTAGCTTTCACTCTTCCTTGACGACAAGTTTTATAAATGGATTGCCCAAAAAATTGACAGTGGAACCACGGTTCCGGAGAATCTGACGTAAATACGTCTCTGTATTTAAATTATATTTCAGCAATAAATACAATGAAAGGAAGTTTATATATTAGCTTTATTCTAAATATTTCCTTTATACATGCTTTACAACTTAGTAAATAGTTTGATTAAGACTGCTTATTAAACTTGAATTAGTTACGCTTAAGATGGCTCTGTGGTAGCTGAGTGTAATGTATTGTAATGTAATAAAATGTAATTTAATGTAAGGATTTTTTCTCTATCCCCTGTGTCCAGACCGGCTCTGGGGCCCACCCAGCCTCCTCTACAATGGGTACCGGGGGTCCTTTCCCGGGGGTAAAGCCAGCCGGGGCGTGATGCTGACCACTCACCCCCATCTAGTGCCGAGGTCAAGAAAGACAGGAGCTATACCTCCACTCACCCCAAGCGCCTGTACACACGTAGCGGGACAAACTTTACCTTACTTGTACTTGTGATATTCTAAAACGTTTTTCCAGCACAAAATTATCTAGTCTACGACGCACTTCTTCTACAAGCGACTCACAGCTCAGCTCTTTCCGCAATAACGAAAGTGGACTGTTGACAACATTAATGTAACACAACAATGCCGAGTAAACAGATGATGAAACAATTAGTTTCTTAGGTAACAACAATGCACGCAAGCTGACCATTGTTGGTCCATATTTACACATCTTCGTTATGCTTTTTTGCCGAATGACCCTTCTGTATAGACGTATTTACATTTTAATAACTCCATTTTTGGAAATAGCACTACATATATTTCAATAACTTAACCACAAAACTGATGAAGATACTTTTAGATAAACATACACCTATAGGGCAATCCAAAATGGAAGAAAAGATTAGCCAAAAAATTTGATAACTCTAAAACTCAAGAGAGACAAATGCAGAAAACTTCAATGTAAAGATGCTATTGCTAATGTATGACATGATACATGTGATGTACAAGTACAAATTTTGTGCACCAATCCAGATCCTTAAATTGATGTCAAGAAGACCACAAGGAAAAGAGCAGGAAAAACACTTCCACTTCATACCCAAAAGCTGTAGTAAATTATGCAAGTAGCAGAGGTTACACTGACAGGGTAGAATGAAAGAGAGATTATTACGAAGTGGTAGAAATATCCGCCCCTCCAAACAAATAAATTGCAAGCAAACCTAGTTTTTAAGGCATCACTTTCAAGTAAGAAGAGGAAACTGTTAAATGTTGCTAGGTCACAAGAACTGTCACTTTCTAGCTTACAATGCATGGCAGTCAAGTTCAAGAAGAAGTCTACCGTGTCTGTCTCTTTTGACACAACAAACCACCATGTTTGAACCATAGTATACACGTAAAACTATCCATACTGTAAACGGTCTAAATTACACTGTAAGAACAGCTGACCATTTTCCTGACCTGCCAAGTGACACAATATTTTTTAAAAATTTAATAATACAAGTGATACGTGTGTCAAGTTAAGAAACACACGAGATTAAAATCAATACTCAGCATGAATGTAATCTCTTAAACATTAAGAATTGCTTGAAACAGAAAACCTGCTCCCATTTACTAGTCCATACTGAATCATCACTAATTTGCAGAACCTGCTTCACTGACTCAATTAGTTCACTGGCAGGGACAGGGTTAAGAAATTATAGCCTACCTCTCTCTTCTTTTAACAGGTGTAAAGATATCATCGTCGTCGTCATCATCATCATCATCAGCCTCCTCAAACATGGCAATATCATCTGAATCTTCCATCATTTCATCTTCTTCATAAATATGGCCTCTCTCATCAAGCGAGACAGACACTCTGCAACTGCGCAAATGCCGACGACGGGAACCCACTGCTACTGTAAACAAGCATACTCTAATTACTAATCTGGATCAGAGTTCTCCAATGTATATGCTTACCTGTATTCTTTTAAAAAATATATAAACATATTCATTGCAAAATAAAATGTATGATTTGATGTCACAGTAAGGAATTTCTGGTACAAAGACAGGAATGGCCAGTCTAAGTGAGATTTTAAGTTCTCACGGCAATGAGTATGAAGGTGGCTGTCTTCTGTGTTGTTGCACCATGCAATGGCATCCTGGGCTGTGGAGTCGGAGTTGGCCTCCATTATCAGGGCGATGAGTAAGCCGTGCGAGTGGGAAGTACTAGTCCCAGCCGGGCCACTAACCACTACTCTGCCCTTTTCAGGGTACATCCGGCCCTGGCCAGTGCTCCCTTCCAATATCCTTGTTTCACCTCCATCACGACCACCCACCTCCCTTATGTACAGTGATCCACCGGCCGAACTCTGAGGGGCCCTTAAAAGGGATGCTTTCTTGGACCTATCTCTTTCACATGCTGTGACATGCCCACACACTCCTATTGGTTCACACATCCTTGCCTGATTCTGATACCAGTCCCCACTGGTTAGGATTAGGCTATTCCTTTCCTGTCTGGTCCCTACAACTCCAGCTCTTTCCACTCGCATGGCTTACTCATTATCCTGATGATGGAGGCAACAAGTACCTCTGAAACATCAGTAAACTTCTGCCAGACTACATGGAGTAACAACCCAGAAGACAGTCATCTTTCAACATCAACCCCACTTGGATGATGACAAATAGAAAAATGGGAATGCTTACTGATCTTAGGTTTGGGTTCTAGAAATCACTTCCAAGATTCAGGAAATGCAAGACCTTCCATTACTTTTCTTGTACATCTTTTTCATCTACAGAAACTGAGTATGGAAGAATACTACCACAATTAACACAGGAGGTTTCAGACACCATGACCATTCTCACCATAATGACCACACACAATGCTGCAGTAAGTAGTTTCAGTATAAAATATTTTCAGCATAAGAAGCAAACATATGTAATAATTAGGGTATAATAAAATTTCACTACATTGATGCCTCCTTCCACCTGCCTCAACTACGCCTGACTCACATTCAGCCAACTGCTCAAGTTGTGATGTAGGAAATGAAAGGCACAGACCATTCACATCTATGGATGAGAATAGAATGTATGGTTTGGTTATCATATGGGATAATACAGTAGTAACAACCAGTACATTTTACTCACTACGACTGTGCACAACATTAACAAACGCTCCAACCTAGCCTAGTCTTTGCACAGACTCTTTTAAGACACATAAAATGGTGTCCATATGACATTCATTTCATCATTTTAATAGGTGCTATGATATCTCAATAAATTTGAATAAAGTAATGTGATTCAATGTATACCAAGAAGTTCACAAACACAAAGCCATGCTCATAACTAGATTTCAGTCCTTGAAATACAATAGTTAGTTTTAAGACTAGCACAATCCCAAGGAATTGTGCCATAAAGTAGTAAAGTACCATGTCAGTACATGCTTTTAGTGCCACGCCTAAGACTACCTTGTTCTGTGTAACGGGAGCGTAAGGTATAGTCTGTTGAGGTCCGGTCACGCTCATTATTGTTAAATACAAAACGGTTGCGTAACTCACGACCCCAGCCAGAACCAGACTGCGGAGGGTAGGAATCATCCTTTTCCGTTCTCCGCTGACTGGATCCACTCTCGGCATCCTGTAACCACATCCAGTAAAATAATCCATTTTCAGTTTTGCTTTGGTATGACGGGCTTTGAAGTTTATAAAAACAGGCTTGCAAAACTGAATGGAAGCAAAAATGCTTAGAAACAAAAGGATCTCACCTCAAGGATCTCCTCTTTCACGGACAAGTCTCTAACAGGCATAGCTGCTTCCAAATCTTGACTTACGTCGCAGCTTCTTGTCTTCACCATTTTCACATGAACAGCCAAACTGAGGAGTTGCAAATATTGCGACCCACAATTTTTTTCAACATCAATACCATTCTTGATTCTGAGTCTTCCGAATTCCCAGTTCAATGGCCGTTGCAAGTTGCACAATACACAAGTCAATTTTCACTTACTGATCTTCAACTGGGTCTAAATAACCTTTTACCATTCTGAAAATAGTCATTTCAAGTATCAATTTCACCACTCTAAACCACAGTTGTAATACATCACTCAGATCCAAATTTTAAATGATCCTAACAATAGCAACCAACGCAAATGATACTGCCTTCCTTTCGGTCGAACACACACCGGACACAGCCAAAATGGCGGTAATTTATCATTCATTGTGAGCAACATGTAACATGTAATATACCTTTCAAACATATTAAATTGAAGTTCGCGTTTTTAAGCATTGATTTGTACCCAAAGTTTGATTGTACTAGCCTTTATTAAATGTATTTGCGCAGTTACCAATGCAGATATTTTAGGAAAAATAACCTTATTTAAATCTTCAAGCAATACCCATATTAGCAAATAAATGGAAGTACAATACCCAGCCTGTTGAACATTAAAATCAGTGTACCACTACGAAAAATAAAAATAAAACACCATTCATTTATGAAATACTGGTATAACCTTGAAAGGGTCTGCTTTTTATCATACTGTTACACATATTCAACTTTCAGATGTAAAACTAGTGTTGTGTAATGTACTAGAAGTGTTTAGGCCTTAGGTACCTTGGAAAAGAGCTGTCGGGTAATATGATGTGCAACTGAAGTGTGTGCCCATTTTATGAATTAGTTTGCAGAACAGGACATCAAGCATGCTTTTACAAATCAGCAGCATAGTAACGTATGCTAAAAATGTTACTGGTAAGCGTTCTAACTATACTAGGCCTAGTACTTTTGTAATTGTGTAATCCTGCTTATACATGTCCATTATGTTTTGTCCAGTCAATATGATGACCTATATTACATGTATTACTGGTACAATTCAGGAATAACTTTAGCCTAAAAATTTGTCTAACTCTGTGTATTCATTTCTTTAATTAAACTTAATTTCCTTTCAGTGGATTACATAGACTTGGACTTCACTTTGTGGCTAACATGGATGCTTACACCCTTAATTATTACATTCCTTTTGCCATTGATTATAGTACTTCTCTTGTATTTAAGTGTATTGATTTTGTACATCTACAAATTGCATAGGTAAGTCTATTCATAAACAATCATTATGTTTCAAATATACATTCATAAATAAGTATTCATTCCTATAAATTTTCAAGGAATGACAGTTGGTGACTGGAGACATATGAAGAGGAGTTAGAAAATGTTTATAGATTTGAAGTAGGTGTAAGAATAAGGAATTAATTGTATTAGCAGAAGCTGATACTAATATAAATATACTACTAGAAAACTTAAGGTAATCCAAGTCCAAATGTTGTCATTCATGATCATATTCAGGAAAGAATATCACTTGTGAAACCTCAAGCACTTTATTTAGATGATTTTACAAGTCAGTACTTCTGATGTCCTCTTTCAGACATCGTTTACGCCATGCATATGAAACAGATTTCTGGGATGGTGCACGGAAGACTGTTGCAGCTGTCTGGGATGCCCATGGCTGGATCTGGCATGGTAGCAACTTATTTCTCACATCCAGCTACTGGAGACATTTCTCAAAGCTTTGAATACATTCTATAGTATAAAACATAGTTCATTGTTTAAAACATTATCCCCTTGTAATAGGCAATGCATGGAAGATGTTTAATTGCTAAAGTTAATCTCTTATTCAAAATTCAATCTGCATATAATAACTACAGTCCGCAGACCAAGAGAAAATCCCTGCTAGGAATTTGTTATACACAGTGAGTGACGACCCATCCTAAAAGCATACATTCCACAACCATTGAACGAACAACAGGCTTTCATGTGTTCTAATGGGTACAGCTTTAAGATTACCTCACAGCGGCACAGTGATTTAATATAGAATATTATTGCAACATCCGCAGAACACATTAGAGGTGCGCTCACTACACGCTAATCTCAACTGCTTGATGTTTTCAGTCTGTGTGTAGTAGCCTTAAACTGTGACATATCACACTTCCCACCAATAGCAGCCCTCTAGTCCAGCTGATAAGTAACATTCCCCCCACACCGACCAGAAATGACTTCCACTTGCAGGGATTTTCTCGTCATCTGTGGACAGTATGTATTTGTATGTATATTGTTGCAACACTGAACTTCGGTCAGTGTTGTAACATTTTTGCATCAATGAGAACTGGATCGCAGTGTTGCAACAGTTGTGACAATTATTTTCTTGGGTATTATTATTGCCTTTGTTATAATTGCATTTGTTATTCCCTTGGTGATCCTCTAATGTCACCCTTAATATTGGCATGAAGAGCACCTTTGGAATATCAGTGCGCTCAGAAGAATACACTTTTACGGTCTAATTAATATGACATGGATGCTCATTATTATTCCCCGATTTGTTTCATACTTTAAAAATAACTTGTGTAATGAACACTCCTGTTTGGTCAATGTTTTTTTATATTATAATGGAATATAAGAGTGTAGGCATATTTATGACATTGGTTTTCCATAAATTCAAGCCCACTGTTCTAATTTGGTCTAAAATTAACCATGTGGTTTGGATTTGTTCATTAAAAAATTTGATAATATTCACTAATCATTCTATCAGTCATTCTCTTCTATATAATCTAAGCAATTGGAAGTTTCATTAAATAAATCATTACTAAATAAATATTCAATATGATCACTACTTTCATTTGGGTAAGGGTATAAACTAGTGGTTCCCAAACTGTCCCAGTATTATTTTAAAGTAAGTTCACAGAAACACAGTGATGTTACTGACACTGTTCTTTTTGTTTTATAAAGAAGTATTATTTGTTGTAGTCTGTTCCAGTTGCATAGTTGAGGTATACATTAGCTTCCTTTGTTTTCAGAAGGAAAATTGTGAAACACTGCAAAGGTATAGCTGCATGAGGATGTGCTATGTCAAGGTGGAATGAAAGTAGATGGTAGGTAAGGGAGAATGTCCTAGAAAAACTTATAATTTCAAATGGACAGTAATGTATTCTTATCTTTAAGGAGTGAATGTATGGAGCAGTAGTTTGGGAACCACAAATACAAGCCCTAAACCAAGAGATCTCTGTGACATTTTCAACTGTCTTTTCCTTTAAAAGAAATGTTCCAGTGTACATTAATGCATAAAATCACAACTATGTCTTAAGTTCATAAATTGTAATAAACATGAAGCCATAAGCAGGAAATTGGGAAAGTTCTTGTCATTAATTATTGTTCTGATAATTTTAAACAAAGAAAAAGAATCTTAGTTATATTTTTTCAAGCACTTCCCCATTTTTCATGCTGCAAGGTGTGAAGGTCACAAAACACCTACAGTATGTACTATCTCTTTTCGTAAATTTCTAAGCCATATGATGAATTTCAATAAAAACTTATAATAGAAAAGGCTAACAAAATCTTATGTAGGAAATGTATTTCTTGTATGACATAATGGCCTGTCAGGACTTCAAATTTACATTGGGACAGAAAAGAAATTTGTTTGTGGTGAATGTATGTAATACCAAAAAATTTTCTGAACAAAAATTATAGAATTAGACAATGTATATTGATCATTTTTAAGAATTTGGTTTTATTCATTTATAATTTGTGTTAAAGGTTAACTAGCTGTAATTAATCATTCCTTTGAAAGCCTGTGGAATATGCCTTTTCACCATTTTTATTTCTTTGTATTTAGGTCTTCCAAGTACATGTGTCTTGAATTTCATTCCATTTCACTGAAAAATATAAAAAAAGTAGTAAGCAGAAAATGCAGTTGGGACTTTCAAAATATATAGTCCCTTTAAGCTTAAAGTGAAGGACATTCAGAAAAGCTGTTGTGTGTAGGTGTACATTTACTCCCATTAGACATAGTTCTTTGTTATCGAAAATTTTCATTATGGATATTTTCTTCTGCATGCTGTACTGTCCAGGTTATGAGGTCAGCGGTATGGAAAACATTCCAGATGACACCCCAGCACTGATCGTGTACTATCATGGTGCCATCCCCATAGACTTGTATTATTTTATCTCAAAATCTATTCTATTTAAGAACCGTTTGATTCATACAGTTGCAGATCGGTTCCTCTTTAAAATACCAGGTAAATATGAAGAATATAACTTCTGTAATTGTTATAATTGAATTTGTTGTGATCTAGAGCAGGAATAATTAACCAGGAGTGTACTATGTGGATGCAAGGGTGGTGGGTGTAGTGCACTGAAAAGAAATGTCTGTAAGCTTTGATCATGAAGGAAATTAAAAGAAGAATATTTGCTTATATATAGTTGAACTGAGACTTGTGCAGATTTTAGGTTTGCTGAAATTATCACTTGATTGTCATTTTACCTTTCACTCAACTGATCAAAACTCATGAACAACTTTCTATCCAAAGAACAGTATTTTTGGCAGCAGGCTCAGATAAAAATAGGATAGATTTAAATTTATTTCAACAAGATAAAGTTTGTATTAGATTTTGCTAAAACTTTGATTTTGAGTCTGGTCAGTTGTAGGCCCAAGATAAGGTCTCAGTTCAGGACTTAAGTTATATTATGTAAATGTCCTCAAATGCTGTTTTCAGCAAAAGCAATATTAATTTTGTGACCTATTTAACATGTGTAAGTATTCATAATTACTCAACCAAAGTAAACATATGAAAGTCCCACATTTTAAGTTAATGTGAAGACTGTTATTTACATAAAGTGATTTTATAAACTGTATGCTCTATCCATCTACACAGGCTGGTTAATCATCTCCGAAGCAATGAAGGTGATACCAGGCACAGTGCAGATATGTTCAAATATTCTGAAACAGAACAATTTATTAGCCATATCACCAGGAGGAGTTTATGAAGCCCAGTTTGGTGATGCATATTATAGACTTATGTGGAAAAAAAGACTTGGATTTGCAAAAGTGGCCTTGGATGCCAAAGTGGTAAGTAGTCACAAAGCTGTACAGAAATATTCATGGGTTTAAACCTTTTCTCACCCATGGCATACCCCCATTTGTCAAGGACATGATGGCACAACATAAAATTTCACCTCACAGAAGGGGATATGAAAATGTACATTTCCTTAAATATGTATTACATATATATCCTTGTCCTATAAGAATGCAGGCATATGAAAACAAAACATTACATGTCGATAAAACTATTAATGATAAACGAGTGTGTTTGTGTATTATGAACTTTTAAGTATAACATATGAATAATTATACCATTTCTTATAAAAATTTGTGGCACACCCGAAACTTTATGGTGGCACACTGGTTGTGGAACACATCTGAGGCAGAAATACAAGGACACGTTCCTTTCTTGCATCAAAATCACATCTAAATCTTTTAAATCCCACATTATATATATGTATATATAAGACATACTGAATGCATTTCAGATTGAGTGTTGTATCATTCTTTTCATTATAATTATGTGCTTTGGACAACTGATTTGTATAATGACAAACATTTGTTATCTAATACAGCGTTTCTCAACCTGAGCCAATGTTGAGTGGTACGCAAAACTAAGTAAGAGAATCAAAAGATAATATTAACATAAATAAGTTTTCCCTGAACGCATTTGGTTAGTGGTACATTTAATGTGTTAAATTAGAATTAGTGGTATGCTAGCATAAAAGGGTGAGACCCCTGACCTAATACATTTTAACTTTGATTTTTTAATAAAATCATAGTTATTACACATCTTGTCTTCTTTTGCAGCCAGTTATTCCAATATTCACACAAAATCTACGAGAAGCATTTTGCAGTGTGAGTTTTGGCAGACGTTTGTGGCTGAAATTGTATACAATAACAAGGTTTCCAATTGTGCCAATATACGGGGGATTTCCAGTGAAGTTACGCACACATGTGGGGAAGCCAATTCCTTACAACGGTAGCCTCACCCCTGAGCAACTTCAGATCAAGGTTCATAACATTAATAGATTGTATTCTGCACAATAACACCTTCAGATAACAGACAACTTATCACGGTCATTTCACTGTATCCCATCAGGCTAGTTACGTACGTTTTAATTCTGTTACATTATATTGTATTGGGTGTAGCAAAGGGTTAAATTTTTCAGTCTCATAATGTGGACACATAGGGAAACTTCATTTAGAAATACTTATTATTAGATGAACCCTCAAAAATATACTCTTATTCTAGAATAGATATCTAGGACATGTTTATTCCCAAATTAAAATTTATGTTGTGTAAGGAATTTAATTTAACTAGAAACTCATTACATTTTTACAGACGTTGATTATTAATGTTATTTATAGTACAGGTTTGATGTAATTTAAGTCAGTTATGGCAAACCATTAAACAAAGCCTGTTGTAAGGTCTTTATTGGTAAACGTCTGTATGGTGCATTTCCTACTCAGAATGGTCTGAAAAGAGAAAATTCTTCATTGCCATTGCTTTTGAACATGCCATAATTAAGGAAACAAAGGACATTGTAACTGAACTGGACACATCAGCTTTTGTTCTGTGATGCTGAGGGGGTACATAAATACTGTAACTCTGTTACATGTTGTTAATGGTATGGAAGATACTAATATTCAAATTCCAAATTTAGATCACCGACTAACCAATTTAAATGATTTTCACTTTGACATAAGAATAAATAGGGTAGACCATTTTTAAATCGCGTGCAGTTATGATGTTTATCAGTAAGATATTTCTTTACATCTTTTTCTTTTGTTTTATATTAAATTCTAGGTAGCTCAAGCACTAGAGGAATTGATTGAGGAGCATCAAAGAATTCCAGGCAGTATAATGCGGGCACTGGTGGAGAGGGTATATGCGCTACCAAAAAAGAAATCCAAATGATGAGCATATTATTGATTTGGAGCAGTTTTGTAAATGAGTTATCCATACATCGAACTGTAAGCACTGATGTGCCATTTGAGTGTCATAATAAATAATATTCAAAATATGTACATAATACCACCTGGATACAACAATTATTATTACTTTTGTTGTAGGCAAGCATTCCTAATGACTGATGGGACGATGTTGTGAAGTGTGTGACTTCTGCTGTAATTAAGAGATGTTCCAGAGGATGACCCAGCACCTAAAACATGCCAGGCCTAGTAGTAGTAGTAGTAGTAGTAGTAGTGGTAATAAATAATTTTATATATACATTGTAAATACATTACAAAGGTATGCATTCCAGGGTCAAAATAAAACATTGTCCTATTTATAAGTGTAGTGTCATGAAGGAGTATAATAAATAACATAGCCTGTGTAACAAATTAATATTATTTTCATATGCAATACAAGTAAAAATGTTTAATCTGTTCTGATAAGAATTGTGCAGAATGATATTTTTTAAACCATGACACATTCCATTTATTGGCTTATTTCAATGTTGCTGTCTTCTCTTGTAAATATAGTACCAGACCTCCCGTATCAAGAAAGCCTGCAACCTAATGCTTTTCAGACTTTAGGATTTTGGATGATTATGCAGAGGAATTTTAAAACAGTCAAAATAAATAATAAAAATTATATGCTGAAGTATGCTTTATCTACAGTTCACAATTTTTTTCATGACAAATAGAAAAACCTCAAAAATGTTGGTTGGTATATCTTCAGTCTAAAAAATTTATAAAAGCTGTAAACTTATGCTATATGCTGATTAGACAAGTTTAAACAAGAAACCTGCCTTCTACTAGTGGTAAGACCGTTAACAGTGGTCCCACTCACACATGGTGGTGAGTCAAAAGAACTATGATGATGAGCATAGGCAACTACCACCATAAAAATCACCAGGAGAAATGACAAATTTTAGGTCCTTCAGGATTTTGCAATGGCAGATATGGGGTCTGACACTATATTTACACTATTTAACATATTGTACTTAAAACTCTGTGTGATTATTTATTTATTTTACTCCAACATGGTTTTGTATGTAAATATTAACTATTCTTATATTTGTTGTTTTAAGTTACCTGACTTTATATAAAATAAATATATATATATATATGCATTTAAAACTCTGAAGCATTAAATTTGTTTTTCTTTATAAAGAGAAAAACTAAAAAATTTGGGGTGATATATTTTCATTGTCTAAATAACATGTAAAAGCCCACAGCTTATGTCATCTGTTGATTAAATAAGTGCAAACAAGGAAGCAACCTTCTGCAGTTGGCAGCAAAATAACTTTACTTCATATTTATTCAGAATGGGGACTTTAAGAAATAATTAAAACATTTTTTTCTGAGATTACTACAGAAGATTCTGCATATGTGTTCTTAAGGTATGCTATAACATTGAAACTTGTCTTTGTATCACTGTATATTTTTACTTCTGATTTGCTCTGTACATCTTATTATGGAACAACATGATTTCCAGTTGCAGCTTATGCCTCTTTTTTCTGGTGGAACACCTCTACATGTAAAATAAAAATGTGAAATTCTAAAACAATGTGATATTATCAAATGAAACTGGCATTACTACAAAAAAACTACTGTGTCATTTTAACATGAAAATGTTAAAATGTATTACCCTAAAAATAAAAATACTTTTATGAATACTGCTGGGAGTTTTAACGAAAGATAAAGAGTAGCAAAATACTTCCTATAAATGGACAGAATAATGTTACATATGCGTGCGCTTCCTATCTTTTAGACATCTTCCTCTTAAAAATGCATGGTCTAAATGAAGAGCACACCATCTCAATCTTTCTCTCCAGAGCTCGCTTCCTTGCCTCACCACTTCCCATGCCAGTAAACTACAAACAGCCTATAGTGTACCACTTTTCTTTATTTTCCTCCAAACACAGTGATGTACTGCTTATGCCCTAAGATGAATGAGTGTGTTAAAACAGCTTATAAGCTGCAACTCTAGAGACAGTTGCTGGCATTGGTACAGGCATTTCACTGTATTATCCTGAACTGATTTCCCATTAGAATGTAACTACATAAAAACAGTAATTAGTGTAATACCGTACAACTTTCAGTCATCTAACAAGATCTCTACTTCAATACTTCATTAGTGTAACTAAATGTCTGGCATGCATTACATGATCGAATGGGATTATTGGATACCCCTAAACAAGGCACCTTTATAACCCCTGAGCGCTAAAGCCTGTTATATAGAGCTAGTCCAAGCGTACCTTTCTATTCCAATCATTGAATCCTGCACAAGAATGCCTTTATATTCAGATCTTAATGTCTAAGAAATTCAGAAAATGTAATCTCATATACACATCTGGCATATGCAATTGTTTCTGTAGAGAGATTAAGATTACTTTTCTGGCACGAAAGCATTAATTTGACCGGAATAGCCGTTGTCTTTCACCACCATCCACAGTTGACTGTAATTAATACTAATGTTCATGAATCCTAGACTACATACTAAGGACGAAATTTGTATTATTACAAAACTTGACATGAATTTACACGTACTCGTAACTAATTAATACCTCTATCTATATCCTCTTGTGACATACACTGTGAGTGGGTGCCAT